ACTACGAGGTTGAAAACAAGGGCAGGTTTTCTCTGGGTGACTTCCACTTTGAGCGCGTCGAAGGCGGCGGCCCCCAGTTCAAGGGTGATATGGAGATCGACGGCGTAGTGTGCAAAGTCGTTGGTGAGGGTAACGGACCTTTGTCCGCAGCCATCGCTGCGTTGCACACACAAATTGAGGGTACTCTTGTCTGCCGGGAGTATTCAGAGCACTCTGTAGGAGAGGGTTCAGAAGTGAAGGCCGTCTCCTTCGTGGATCTCGTATATGAGCTGCCAGGAAGGGTCAAAAAAGAAGCTGCTTGGGGATTGGGCAGCGATACCGACATCACTGCATCTGGTATCAGGGCTGTTTTGAGAGCGGCGAGCAGGTTGAGTGTAGTTGCAAAAAAAGCATAAGCTGGTGTTGAGCGCGAAGAAGATATTTTATATGAATAACGATGTATTACCTGGATGTATAATATCTGACATGCAATTTCATGAAGGAGACACGGTCACGCAGTCACACTGTGACGCCAGTAGTTTCCGAGCGTCTCTGTGACAAAGGACGCGTCCTATATATCTGGCAGTACGAACACTGACGACATCAATCCTGCCATATTCTGTCCATGAACTTAGCCTGAAAAACTCAAGTTGTAGTTTATAGGTGATTGGTCCTTCGAATGTCGTCTCCACCCTCAACTCGCCCCTCAACGTCTTCCAGAGCAAATCTGCATGGCTCACAGTCCATATATCCTCCAGGAGGCCTCATGATGTCCAGTTCACGTCCCTTCCTCAACATGATAAATCCAATGAGCCGTACACACCAAGGCTATTTTCAAGCCAACCAGTTCGTTGTCGAGGAAAACGAGAATGAAAGTGCCGAGGAAGATCTAGAAGCAGGCCACGCGACCAGAGGGATCCTGTCGAAGAGCACCAAGTCACACGGAAATCACAGAGTATCATGGGACGGCCAGAGCTCCGAGATAAACGTGCTACGGCCTAACATACGAAAGGAGGACAAGACGTACGAACAGGAATCAGATGATGATGCCCCTCAGCGCTTTATGATAGAGGACTCTTCGGCGTCTAGCCGCCCCTCTAAAGGCAAGGGCCGCTCACAACCACTTTATTCCACATCTGCACGATCTCTTCCACATGCAACAGCGCCTCCTATAGATACTCTACCTATGCTTTCAATACCCCCTAGACCGTCAGAATTAGACGTCGACGAATTTCCGCAGACGCCACCATATCAGCGGCCACAAGAATCATCCAAGCCTATGCGTGGGTTAGATGATTACGAACGTGCCTTATGGAACTGGGTCAACGTATATAACCTGGACGCGTTTCTGCAGGAGGTGTATCTGTACTATGAAGGCAAAGGGATTTACTCCATAGCGTTGGCAAGAGGGCTCAATCTCCTGTCAGTGATTCTTTGTGCATTCAGAACTAATTTGCTGACTGCTGATGCGTAGCACAGTAGGATTCGTAATTGGGTTCTCGACATTCCTACTTGGGTGTGTCGACTACAGTCGTATTCGTGAGGATGAAACTACTCGGTTGTCGGACGTGGTAGTTGACCGCTGCGTATCAAAGTGCGCAATTGGTTCCAAGAAAGTTAACAGTTACGACATACTGACGCGCATGACATAGGTTCTCTGGATTTACGCTACTTTTCTTTCTGCTTTTTGCTGCGTTCTATATCTGGCAAATTATATCTTTTGTCTTCGAGGTCAGGCGCTTGGTAGACATGTATAAATTCTATACCTACCTCCTACGTGTCCCAGATGTACGTACAGTTCAGTCTTCACCCTTGCCCTGATGCTCATACGCCACGCGTATAGGCCGACATATCAACCATCGCCTGGCCCGAAATCGTGCGCAGGATAGGCGCAATACGCGAAGAAAACCCTATAACAGCCATATCTTCAGCGCACGGCACTAATGCTGCAACGCCAGCAACTGCTTCTCTCGACGCTCACGATATCGCAAATCGCATCATGCGGCAAGAGAACTACCTCATCGCACTGTTTAATAAGGACTTGCTTGATCTTCGCATGCCACTTCCTCCCAAGCTTAAACAAATATTGAGGCAAAGTGATGATGGCAAGGGGCGGACGTTAACAAGGGTGTTGGAGTGGAATTTGCGGTTTTGTTTGATGGAGTATCTGTTTGACCCACAAGGACGCGTCAGGAAGGTATTCTTGAAAACCAAGAACAGAGCCGTTTTAATTGAAGGGTACGCCTTTTCCTCAGCTAAACGCGAGAAATTTTATGCTCATGTAATTTAGGCTTCGTCGACGCCTCATTTTTATGGGTATTTTGAACGCTATTTTTGCACCATTTATCTTCCTCTACATGATCATGTTTTCATTCTTCCGCTATTTCGAGGTGCGTCACTCCTGCTATAACTTGTGGTGTTGCCTAACATCCTACAGGAATACCACAAAAATCCGTCATCGATTGGTGGCCGGCGCTACACACCCTTCGCTCAGTGGAAGTTTCGCGAGTTCAACGAACTCTCCCATCTCTTCACGCGGCGGTTAGATGAGTCACATCCCCTAGCGAGCATGTATATCGGCCAATTTCCCAACGAGAAGATGACCATCATCATGCGGTTCGTTCATGACTTCTCTCCTCATCAATTGTACTGATCACCTTTTTAGTTTCGTGGCTTTTATTGCCGGGTCCTTTGCAGCGGTGCTCGTGCTCGCGTCTGTCATCGATCCCGATTTGGTCTTGCACTTTGAGATTACGCCACATAGGACTGTCTTATTCTATCTTGGTATCTTTGGGGCCGTGCTTGCCGTTGCGAGAGGGATGATACCAGAGGATAACAGGGTGTTTGATCCTGAGCTGCTCATGACAGAGGTCATTCAATATACGCATTACATGCCAGATGAATGGAAGGGGGAGCTACATTCCAAGAAGGTTGGTTGGTCCTAGCTTTCCATCGTCGAACTTGTTGACATTGGAACAGGTTCACCAAGAATTTGGAGAGCTTTTTGCGATGAAGATACCCATTTTCATACAAGAGATTGTCTCAGTCTTGACGACACCATTCATACTCTGGTTTTCACTACCCTCATGCGCACCCGCTATCGTGGACTTTTTCCATGACTTCACTGTCTGGATACCTGGGAGAGGGTATATTTGCAGCTTTGCCGAGTTCGATTTCAAGAGGCACGGCAATGTCAAGGTGAGACAATCGTTTCAAGTCTTTGTCTACGTCTACTGACCGTTGAGTAGTTCGGAGCTCCCGCACAGAACCAAGATGAGCGTATGATGTCTCGAGAGGGCAAGATGGAAAAGAGTTTTTTGAACTTCAAGGTTTGTGACTTTAATATATAATAGTCCGTATTTCTGATGACTGTTCCTGTCATTCAGGCAGCGAACCCCGACTGGAATCCATCTGATCCCTCCGGCTCCTTGTATCTCAGCCGCATCGCCGACCTCAGTGCACGGCGCAGACTTTCCACTTCGAAGACAGCATTAGACAATACCATCCTACTGAACGACGGCAACAAGGACCCCACGGAGCGTGCTCACGAATACGACCGCGCTCTTCGGCAGAGTCAGCATGCAGCCCTCCGGCGAAGACTCCAGCTAGGTGGGGGCAACATCATCGCAGGTGGAGGCGGTACCACTTCTTCGACTATATGGCAGTCGGCCATTGGCTCGAATTCAGCTATGGGCATGGCACAGACCGCGATACTGGGCGACTCTCAGGGAAGTATTGCGCCTCTGCCGCCGCCGATACTGGATGAGGACAGAGATTTAGATGGTGGTGTTGGCAGTGGACTGGGCGATTCATACGTTGATGGGGACACTCAGGGCAAGAAGCCGTACGAGTCACAGGAGGAAGGTATCAACGACGAAGAGGGATTAGAGGACGGTGGGGTGCTTGGGCTACTGGCGCAGATATATGCTGCGAAGGGCCCTAAACATGTCCCTGTCATCTGAGGGCTGCGTACATGATTTCTATCAAACCACATTAATGCTTATATCTTGCACATTTGTAAATGCTCGCACATATGATTTCTATCCTGCGTTTTTGTAATGTCGACGTCGCGTGAGTCCAGGTAGACTGCAAAACTTCCTTCGAACAGAGATCTACCATAGAAAGCTGCGCAGATATCTTTCTCCGTGAATACGACAAGAGGGCGTGACATTCCTGTGACACCTGTGGGTCATGTGAGATGTGGGGTCAAATATGAAATTACGTAGTACGTCGTCGACAAGTTAAAACACTGAAAAACCATACACTATTCAAGCAACGAAAATTCCAGATGCAGCTGCTCTCTCTCTCGCTAGGATCTCTTCTACGCGTTTCACCTTGTGATCATTGCCATCACCCACGGGGGTATCTCGATCTACGCGTGTACCAATACGGATGTCTGTGGCAACTCGAGGGGCACCTTTGCGGTGAACTGCAGTATGGCAATCATGTATGGCTTGAGACACTTCGCTCCAAGGCCCCTCTAACAAGAAAATTCAGTGAAAGGCCAAGGTTGGTTACCTCTTACAACGTACCAAGATTAGTGCCGTACCCGCTGAAACATGTGTCGTTATCAGAAGTTTGACATACAAATGAAAAATCTTACTGCATCTGAAGCAAGATTAGTTAAATTGAGTATGACAACTCGCCCATGCTCACCTTGAACGTCAGCCCTGATTTTTCCAAGACTCTCTGACACTCTGCGATATATTCTGCAACCTAAAACGCATTTACTTTGGACGATAATCCCCTATTTCCCGTGGACGTACGGAAGATTCTCCTGTTCCCATTGGGATGAGACAGAAATCTGAACAAATTGTGAGGTCATGAGGTAATGTATATTACTGAAACTACAAACCTGCTACGGCATAAAGATCACTGGGCATGTTGGGCGTTATTGTCAAAGTCGAAATACCCCCTTTTTTTTATAAGCATGAGCTCCGGAGAGTGCCGAAGGCTTGATTTAGAAATAAATATTAAAAGAACGTTTATGGGTTGCGCAGCGCTCAGAGTAGAGCCATAAGATGCCTTCAGCCGCGCTGCAATCAAGGATTAAAGCTTTCGAGGCTCTCGCCGACCAGCGTCCTTCTCAGACGACGACAAAACCTTCGTTTGTCGTTTTAAAGGCAAAATATCCTCCTTCATCTAATACTAATAACCTCCTGGAATCACCTATCTCACCTACCTCAGACTCAATCCCACCAATTGCTCCATTTACGCCGTCAAAGTCTTTGAGCAGGTCACCGTCACCGTCGCCTCCAAATCTAGGTCGTAGAACCTCATTAATTGACTTAAAAGACTGGATTGTAGATGATGGACCAAACGGGGCACCGTCCGGCGTCTCACACTACAATGGCAGGCATCTGAAAGGCTTTCCAGATATCAGAAGAACGCCCCCACAGGTTCCCCATAAACCTGCTGCTGCTCGTTTAGCACCAATGTCTTCAGCACCACTCATTAACTTGGAATCCCCTCCCAAGTCACGTCCGCCCCTCCCACCACGTAAACCTTCATATGCATCGACAGACTCTTCACCTTCAATTTCAAATTCTGCTATCTCTGACAGCAGTGCTACTCTGCGACCCCCAGGGCACTCAGATTCACTCACTGTAGAGCACACTTACCCCCCTCCCCGTCCACATGCTTTTGGCTCAGCCCGCGCAAGCCACGCGCCCGCTTCTTCCATTTCATCATTTCATTCCGTATCTCTTTCTGATGGAAGCGACCTGAAACTCATGAGCTCAAGACTGTCCGTACAGTCATCGCTTGTGACAAATGGTGATAACGATGGCAGCGTGGACGGGGACATCGCGAGCATCGCTGACTCGTTTGAGAATGTGTCTGTGACTTCCGCGATAAGTCCTACCACCAACGTCCCTTTTGATTGGGGGAAGGCCGCTAGCAACGGCAACGGCATACCTAGGCCCGAGCCTCCCAAATTACCTCAGCGACCAGGTACAAAACTTCCCTTGTCGCCCCCCGTTTCGAGATCAGTGTCAACATCATCATCTATAACGCCCACCACTCACCGACCCCGACCTCCACCTCCACCGCCTCAATCACGCACTAAACTTCCTTCCCGCACATCACCTGCATCCACCTCTGCATCCACATCCGATCGCTCATCCATCCTAAGCAACGCAACCACCGCCTCTCTCACAAGCATAAGTACCACAAGCATAAGTACCCGAAATAGCGGGCAGTTGACACATAAAGCTTCATTACTCCTGCGACCCACGCCAGTCCCGCCTGCCGCACGGACTACGCTATGAAACCTTATTTGTTGCGACTGTGATCAGTCGACGGAAAGCTGCCAAGAAAGCCAAGTTGAAGTCCCCACCATCATCTACATTGTCAGTAAAGAAGAGCAGACAAGCTGCTGGCTGGAGAGGGCTTTCAGTCGACCTGATCACCAACCCGGAGGATCATCCTTCACTACCCTTGAAGGATGCAGAAAGCGAGAATGACGATACACATCTAGTCCCAGTTGGACCTGAAGAGAGACTAGGCGGCCGAATAGTGAAGCTCGTCTGGAATGCTTCAAAACTTGACCGCGGCAAACTCCGGGACATATGGTGCGCACTGCAGTCTTTTTGACGCACCCATACTCATTCATTCTTCACTGCAGGAATGACTGTGATCCGTCCTCGACCGGCTTTCTTGACCGCGAAGCATTCGTCAAGGGAATGTGGCGAATTGACGAAGAGCTCCGGAGAGCCCAGCTGACGAGACGGACGTCTGCACTCAGCGCCGCTTCGTCGCAACGCATTCCCCACCGTCCGAAGAATGCGAGCAATCCAAGATTGTTATTGCAATAGTAGGACGTGCTTCCCTTATACCCCCGCACTCTCTTCCATACCCGTGGACTATGTAATAAGTCATCTCTCGCGACCATGCAATATACTCACGATCTAATTGCTCTTGCGGGACTTGGGTGCGTACATACGCTTTGCAAACTTTTAACTTGTTTGTGGATACCCACAAGCACCAAAGCAGTGGAGCCTTGAATGCTCTTATCGACGACCTTCGTTTTTCCAAGATTAAATAAACACGAACGCTACCAGTTGGTGTCAATTTATTCAATTTCATACAACGAGCAATCTCTCTCGCCCAACTTAACAGTTTCTACATACCACCCCAACACCGTACCGAATAATTCCAAATATGTCATATCATAAGAACGAGAAACAAAACGTGGTAGGAAAGTGTAGTCGCTGGAACGTCGCGAGGTATCTAAATAAATAAATGAAACTTAAACATGTAGTGATACCTGCGTCAAATCATTAAAGACGACATCGCAATGATCGTTGAAAGACATACACTGGCCCGAGCCCGCGGTCCAGCTCACGAACGATATCAAAGTCAATAGCGTCTGCCATCAGAAACCAAACTGCTGGTACGCCCAGCGTTCCGCCAGTCTGGCTGGTTGGATGCGACAGGTCGATCTAGGCATTCCTGGGGAACCATGCCTTGTTCACCACGCCCATTCACGCAGAGCGCCCATGCGTCGTCATACTGAGCAAGCACACGAATGCGCTCGCCCGCTGTGACTGAGAGCTCGTCAGGAAGCGTGGGGATAAACGCGCGGTTGACAACTGCCTCTGGGGCAGTTGGAAACATGGGTATAGGCGTTGTAGTAGGGGCAGGTGGGGAGTACAAGTTGGCTCCTGCTGCTGCACGTGCCATGGCAACAGCAGAGTCTCCGGGGCTTAGAGAGGGAAGTGGTGGTGGTTGGGAATACATGGGCATCGGATTGTTATACGAAGCGGGAGGCGGGGCTGGGCCTGCATACCCTGTGAATGGACTCTGCATCCTCTGGATTGGAGGTTGTAGGGGGCCCGGATATTGCGACTGTCCATGAGCTTCAAAAGGTGATTTTGGTGAATTCCTCAGCGAAGCAGGCTTCTCAGAGAAATCATCACTGGGAGCTGCAGGAAGCGGCTTGATCTCGTTAAAAATATTGCCAACGGGCCAAGAGAGGCGACGGTTCTGCCTGCGGCGGAGATACGTTTTCCGAACGATGAATATGATCAAGGCCAGGGCGACAACTACGGAGGCAGCGATAATACCACCAAGTGCGCCGCCAGAGAGAGTCTGGCTTGATGCGCTACTGACATTGTTAATAGCTGTAGCGGTTGCGCTTGGAGTGGTAGTAATGAAAACCACAGACTGAGATGTGGTATGCGAGGGACTGATAGTCAGTCCCGTGGCAACGGGGCTGCTCGTGGACAAGGTGGTTGAGGGTGAAGCGAGAGTAGAAGTGGGAGTGGGTTGCGAAGAAGATGAAGACGTCAACGTCTGCGAGGTAGAAGGAGATGCAGACGACTGTGAAGAACTAGTCTTCGCTGTCGAGGTCACTGCAACAGGTGTGGTGGATGTCGTTGAAGTGGTTTTGGCGGTAGTACTTTGACTTGTGGTAGTAGTAGAGTTTGTGGTAGCATCTTCAGCAAACACGAGAGGAGACGCATATAGGTCGTTTACAGGCTGGACATGACCTAGCCGTTTTGCGTGCCGCACCCGCTCAGCAGGCATGCGTCGAAATTCGGAGTGCATATTGGTACAAGCGGTTTAAGTAGACTCGAAAGGTAAGAGTGCTGAACGATTACAGCTGGAATTTTGTAAGGAATGTGGGTGGAACCCTCAAGGGAGACCTGCCACGATGAAGATGGCAAAGAGAGAGGATGGGGCTACGTAGATGGTTACCCGTTACGATCACGGGACGGACCATTTACTACGGGCCAAAACACGTTGTCAAGAGTCAACGTTTCAACGACATCAATAAGTGTCGATAATAGATTTTAAGTTATAATGGAAGAGAAATGAATATATAAATGCACGATCCATGCAAACTGCGAAGCAAACCGCGAATACTAGGATACATAGAATAACAACGATAGAATACAAGTGCCTAAAAGTCGGACGCCTTTTCCAGTTGTTGTCGTTTCCGCGACCCACCACTGCAGCGAGACCAAAAATAAACACAAGTCAGTACACCATCAACAGCAGTGCAGCGCCCTACTCACACATCGGTGTCAAGACCTCGTTTTTTCCCAGACTTTGCCTCATCCAAGAATTTATCCAGACCGAAGACGTCCCCTGTATCCTTCTCAAATTGTACAGGTCCTTCACGGACTTCTTGATCCTCAGCTCCCTCAAACCCAACACGTGCCTTCCCAAGACCAAATCGATCGTTGTCGAGAGCCTTACCGATACCTTCCTCGGTCCCACCACCGAATGAGTCGTCGTTGCCTTCTGCAATATTACCCCTAGCCTTGTATATCGCCGCTGCCGCTGTCGAGCCGTGGAACAACGGCCGATCGTACAAGTTGTAGTTGTCTTCATCTGCAAACGAACCACTGAGCGACTCCTGGTTGAACAGCCTTGAATCCAGCATGCTCTCTTTCGACATGGTCGGCTTGGCAAGACCGAGCGCAATTTTCTCTGAGATATCACGATTTTGTTGCCGTGCAAGCATCTTGGCACGCTGCTCGGCGCCCATGTTCGACATCCGCATTTCGCGTTCGCGTTCACGACGTTTCTCGGCACGCATTTCGTCGCGGAGTTTGCGAGCTTCCTGTTCTTCTGAATCTTCCGGTTCAGCGTCCGATGCAGAAGATTCACTGCCGCTGCCATAGCCAGCAAGAGTTGACGTGACTGCAGCCCGAGATTCTGCCGTTGGTCGGGAAGGTGCAACACCACTGCGCTCTTGGCGGGCGCGCTGTGCAAGCATGCGGAGGTTTTCCTCTTTGGATTCTTTCTCTTTTTGTGCAAGCTTTTGCTGCATGAGTGCACGTTGCCGAACTTCTTCACGAGCATGCCTGTCTGCGACAAACAATGCTTCTGAGAACTTGGCAAAATTATCGTTGATGTGAACCTGTAAAATTAAACAAAAAATCAAAAATATTAGCCTGAAATCAAGAGAGATAGTACTACTGACATCTTGAAGACCCCGACCGTCTGCAGCCAACCGTTTATCGAGTGGGATAGTAAAACCTTTGTTGTTCTTCCAATTGGATATACACGGTGGGATCATCCACTCCTTCTGCTCTGCCGCCGTCGCCTTCCTTGGTGGACTCCGCAGTACAGGAGGGGGCGGACTGGGTGGTCCCCTGGGGATCTTCTTATGCTTAAACCTCGGCGGCTCCATCGGATCTTCCACAACCTCTGACATTTTGATAATCCTCTGCTTAAGCGCGCCATTGTCACCCCCGTTCTGCTGGCCGGGTGTGTATCGTATATATGTCGTCTTCCCCTGCGCATCCGGGACATGCTTCGGTTGTGCAGCCTTGATCTTTCCGGAAACAAGTTGCTCAAGAGCGGCCCGGGTTTTATCCGCAGTGGCTTGAACTTCCTCCTCAGAAGGGCGCTCCATCGTCCGCTGTTCATCCGTGAGGTCTTTTCGATGAGCGATAGGGACAAGGTCTTTGAATTGGGACTGAATATATTTGCCAGAACGTTGGCCTTGGTGAGCAATAACGTCATAACGAACATTGCCTTCGCTATCGACTTGAAGAGCAAGAGTATTGCCTGCGGCCGTCTTAAGGTGTAGACTTAGTAAACCAGTGCAGAAGCATGAAAAAGCACTCGCCTTCTTCCGCCCGAGGTCTAATGGATATTGTGCAACATGACATTCGGGATATGAACCACCATCTCCTGCATAAAAGCTCAGGAAGCTCATAATCATGAGATGAAGATGTATACGTACCGAAGTCCTCTGATTTTAGCGGCTTCCATCCCACTCGTTGGCCGTATGGCGGTATTGGTGTACGAGTGATCACAGATTGAGACGGAGCAGGCTGAGGAACTTCTTCTTCATCATCTGAAACAACTGGGGCATACGCGGGTAGTGGAAGTAGACTGCACTAAAATGTCAGCATTATCAATTATTATTCACGAAGTAACTTACGCAGCGAGGGCAGCCATAGCAGAGATGATCGTTCAATTCAATTGCTTACGGACACTACGAGTTTTGTTTATCTTTGTTTGTGGCGGCAGGTGTAGCAGTATTTTTTTGGTTGTAACAGATATAGCACGGCTCGATACATAGCTACATAGCAGTAGCACGGGCATGAGCTCACAAAATGTTGATTCTGCGCCAAAACCTAGCCAAGTGCAAAAGTCCGGCGTAAGAGCAGCTTTCGAATACACTGGAATTCCACCATCATGGTTCGACAAGCGTCCCAAACTTCCGTCTCGGAACTGGCTCATATTCCTCTCGGTGACCACCTCTATCGTCGCATACTATGTTTATGACCGCAGAGAGTGTAGACGTATACGTGCAGATTATTCCTCACGCGTCGAGCATCTTGCCAAAGAACCATTGGGTACTACAGACCTGCCGCGCAAGGTCATCGTATACGGCGCGAAATGGCCCGGAGACGAGGACCATGATAAGAGCTTGAAATTTTTCAGGAAGTACGTCAAGGTGCGTACTATGTATTTGAATTTGAAACACGCTCACTATGTCTATCTGTAGCCGATTTTTGTAGCAGCTGCCGTTGACTATGAGATGATTTCGGGGCGCCGAAGTGGTGACCTCGCCAACCGCATTGCGGACGAGATTAAGACTCGTCGACGCATTGACGCTGGTGTCGAACCTCCATCACATAGTCCAGTGCCTTTGCCTAACCAGCCAACTCTCGAACAAAAACGCAAGCGAGAACTCGAGGGCGGCATCGTCCTCGTCGGCCGGCACACATTGAAAGAGTTCATGTCGGGGCTCAAACGCGGTTGGACGGAGAGCATGGATCGCGTTGACAGGGAAGACATGCTCGCACAGGAGCTGGCGTCGGATGGCCGATTTGATGAGCCAGAGGAACCTGTTATAGATCCCGAGGTAGTAGATGGGGAGCCCTTACCAACCCGTTCGCGCCTTCTACCTTCGCAGAACGCGGTATTATTCCCTTTGCAGATGCCTTCTTCAAGCCCAACAAAATCCACGCAATATACTTCAAACATTCCTGCACATTTAGACACGCCACCATCGACTATACCAACCCTGCCAACGCTTCTTCTCGTCCCCTTCACAAATTACATTGGCTTCAGACAGGTTCCTAATATGTTATGGGGATTCTTCAATGAGCGGCATAAAGTCCGCGCTGGTTCTGAAGCAGCTTACTCTCTGATAATGAGTCACGTGCGACCATTCGCAGCAGCAAACACTGCTTCAGAAATTCAGGAGTCACAATTGGACGGACGTCAAGGAGGAGACCTTGATTTCGAACTTCCTGCCGAATCCTACTATGATGGTGCTTATACACCGTCTGAAACAGAGAAAGCGCGCAAAACTTACTACGACGCACTGCCCGCAAAGCTAGCAACTGCACGTGCATTAGCACGAGGCACTCGAGCCCCTACGAAGGAGGAGGATAGTCATCCCCCGCCAACGGAAGTAGAGCTCCGTGCAGAACGATTGAAGAAGGAGATGAGATGGCGTGGCGACGAGGCTGGTTGGGAAACCGTGAAACCCGGTCAGCTTGTGCAATGGGACGAACGATTTGCCGACGCCCTGCAGGTTTTTGACGAGCCTCGAGCAGACGACGTTGGTTGATACGTGACCCAGGAGCTAGCGCCAAGCCGCTGACTGACATCCACTCAATTGACCCCATACAAATAATCTTACAGCAAGTACCCATACGTTACAAAGGTTCTACCCATCACACATAACAATTCATTATTATACAATGACAACTGCACCACTCTCCAACCAGCTTTCGAATTCAGCAAGGACATCAACATCGGCCGCGTGTTTAGTTTTTATCTCTTGGTTCCTTCGCTGATTCCCGATGGCAGGGTCGACAGGGTTTGAGGTTCGCCTGAAGGAGACTGGAGGAGGGTAAGGCTGGTTGGTCGTATTGTTTTGTATATCAAATTGTGGCTGGGGTTTGCTAGGTTGGAGACATTGCGATGTAGCCTGAAGCTCCGCGCCAGAACGTGCGATTCCTGTGGCTCGAATATACGCCCCAGTCTTCTTTTCATCCTCACGGAGAGAAGGTTCCACTGCTTGTTGAGGCTCCGGCAGGATGTCAAAGTAAGATTCATCAAAGAAGAAGTCATCAGAAGGCTGTTGCCGGGAGACCTTGGATAGTGATTGGATGTCAACCTCAACACTGGAGGATCCTGCAAGAAAGAGCGAATGGGAAATTGTGGATTGGACAGGAATATCGCCCTCCTAGAATAATTGGGGTCAGTTGACGAAGAGCATTTTTAACGTTTTACCTCTGCAGCCAGTAGGGCAGAGGGGGAACCGAAGAGCTTGAGGTCAGATTTGAAGCGTTTCGTATGACGGTCGTCGTTCGCTGATTCCTGTCTCGGGGAGTAAGGCCTGTATGACGCGTTATTGCTCTTCAGACGCTTCCGAGGGGGTGAGCTATCGGGAGGCAGAGGGTCGCATACCCGTTTGCGAGTCGGAGGGGGAGTCAGGGAGAGAGCATCCATCGCGGTGTCGTTAAAATCGTCATCTCGAACTAGCGCACCATTCTCTGAGCTCGAGTGATCCTTCGAGCGAACATCCTTTCCTTCGCACAGAAGCTCATAAATATTCGCGAGGTCGTCATCTGATTGTGAGTCACTAAGTATGTCCTTAGAGGAGGGCGGTGACTGTGAGCACTTCAAGGTGACGAGCTCGATATCAAAGTTTGGGGCTGGTTTTCGTTTCCTTGACGAAAGTGCTGAGGCATCTTGTTTCAGCCGTTGACCTTCAGAGAGCCCCAACTTTCCATTGACATCAGCACCTGTATGAAGCGAGTTGCGTTGCTCAAGAACTAGATCACGTTTGGTTGTCTTTTGTCGCTTGGGGATTGAGACGTCGCCAAGCGGAGCGGTAACGCGACTGTTGGGCCCAGTAGATGACAGGTCGATGGAGGAGTTGTGAGCTTTCTTTGAACTCAGCAGATGGCCGGGCTTTGTGTTCTTTCTTGGGATGCGAGAAGGTTCTGTGAGCCCGTCACGGCAACTATCGCGCACTTCTCGTCAGCAGGAAACTGCCTAGGCAAGAAAAAACTCACCAAAAGTGACGGCAAGCAGATTTATCCTTGCAGGTGTGATTACAGCTGTGATTTTATGTCGGCGTTAAGCAACCAGATAACAATAGAAACGACTCACTCATATTTCCCGTCTGAGCGTTTTTTAGGCTGTGCGCCGTCCTGCACGGGCGTATTGGCTGTACTCAGATCATCCCCCTTCACTGTAGGACGCGAGACAGATTTCAATGTCTTCTCTTTGTGAGGGTTGATACTCTTTTGTGCTGATGTGTTGCTTTGCAGCGGGCTACGGGGTCGAGTGAGATCTTTAATGGGGAGATTCAATTCGTCATCGTCATCAGGCCCCATGTCCCAAAAGTCGGCAACATCTTCCAGCCCTTCCAAATCCATTTCCTTCGAGAAGTGAGTCCATGTAATGCGATCTGCATTTTGCTTACCAAAGAAGTCATTGGGCGAGTATTAAGCGTTGGATATCTGTTTGTGGGTAAGGAAGGCTTGAAGCTCTCAGTTACGGTAACCCCAGCGATCTTATCCTAATTGTATGAATTAGCCAATATGCTCGCGATATTAGTACTCCCTGCTGACTGAAGAGATCGAGACGTTGATGGTCTGACTCGGTCTGGTAAGCTGCGCGTTGATTACGAAGGATTTCCTTTCCCTCAATACCTTCGTCCTGAGGCATTGATTTTAGTGACACTCCACATTGATAGTATAAAACTCACGAGATACGGCGAAAGTCAATGAAAACGAAGTCGGAGGTAATGGTGAGAAGAGTTGTCATATCGAATCCACCCCTCTTGTGTTTCTTGGACCCCTTAGAAGCTCTCTTGTCCAAGAGGAGGCCACATTCAACGGAGAGTTCGATATCTACTGGACATTTCCCATCGCTAGGTGAAACCTTTACTTCCGTCAAGGTGAGGAAGTAACTCGGTAGCTCGTTAGCAGCCAACAAAACTTCAGAACCAAAGGGGGATCTGCGATTCAGGAGCTAGCTGGAAGTTAGCTTGTTATAGTATCGCCCAGTTACGAGGGTTCACCTCTTCGAGTCTCAATGGGCTGGTGCTTCGTAACTTGGGAATTGAGGTTATGTGATTCTCGGCCAATATCTACTTATGCTGGTGCTTGTAGTCCGATTAAGATGAGTTGTTTCAGATCTCTACCTTGATTCTGCAGGACCGATGTGAGTAGAGCACATGGAAAGGCAAAGTAATTCACTGACGATTTTTCGCCGATATATTCTAATTGTTTCAGGACAATCGGTCTATCTTCCCATGCCTTGGCATGGAGACAACGCACTCTAGACGATTCTTTTCAGCCATCTAAAGCTCCCAGCCACAGCAAACGTACAATTCCAGTCCGTGCTTCACTTGCGCTCCGTTCTTCTTTATGATGGCAACTTCCGCAACCGCTGGGATGTTCAGGTCGAGGAATTAATGCAACTTTAGAGAGGAAACTTTACTTATGGCAATCCGGCTAACGTGACGAAAAACCGATAATGCCTCAAGGCATGGTTGACTCTCTCCGTTTCTGTATTCGGCACTATTCAAGGGTAGACCGCCTAAAACCGCCTTCAAGGACGTCATTTGAAGCACAGGCAGGTGTGAATACAACAGCTACCTGCATAAGCAAGAACACTTTGTCACTCGTGCCTTGAATTTTTTTGACTGCGAACCGAATATCATTATGGCGCCTGATTTTCTCATATACCTAAAAATGGTGGACCTCAGCAATAACATTCATGCTTCACATTCCTTACCTGCTTTTCACCACTTCGTAATTTGAGGTCGGATAATCTTTATAAAACAGTTCGTGCGGTGAGGTCAAACTAGCTGTTAAAACTTACTCCTCCGAGGTGGATATCATCTCAAGCTGTCACCATGATTCCATTAGATCATCGCTGAAGAATGCCCATTAGCTTACAATATCGCGCAAAGATGCAGTTGGAGAGAGGTCCAAGATTGCCTTCATCTATTCATGATCAGGAACGTGCTGTTAAATGGCGCGAAAATCTCACCGTCCCACGACGAATGTAGAACTTCATAGGCTGTCAGATTGTGTGCCACACACAGCAGAGAAAACACTTCACCCTGCTCATAATATCGCCAAATTCAGTAGAACTCAGCTCTCCATTGCGCGGTGAATAGGTGACCAACTCGGTTTCCCGTAGCTGCTCGATACTGTCCATCACAATGCTGTCCACCTTGTCCTGCCAAGACTGGCGGTCGTCTTTTCCGATATTATAGTGCTGTGGATTCTTTTGTATTCGGCGATAGAGGAATGAGCGGAGAAGCCATTCCTGTGCTGTCTTGACGTCGGAAATAGTTCCCAGACCAATTTCAGAGTTTAGGTGCTCGGTCAAATTTGTGTGCAGACTACTCTCCAGAGGTGTGGTACCCTGAACGAGATCGCGATATTTCCTCTCGAGTTCAGTTTCACATAAAATGATAGCAACTCCTTCAGTATCTGAGTGCAGGACGAGAAACGTCAACAAAAAAGTGCAGGATGAAAAAATAGGTACCAAATTGTGGGCGACCCTATCATCACAACATCAGAACTGATAAACAGGTCGTAGATTGAGTGCGCACCGCTCGTCCCATCATCTGCATAACGTCGAGATCCGAGTACTCTTTGGATTCGCCATTCTGATATAGTTTAACGCCCTTTATGACGACCAGATGGGCAGCTGAAAATAGGATCAGTGTGGCCGAAGACTACCGACGGATAATACCTTACGCAAGTTGACTCCGACCGCTAAAGTCTTTGCGTAACATTAGTAACACTCAAATAGAGGAGAGAACAGATCCTAGTATTCACCGACGTAGCCAGAAGAACTCGTAATACTTTACGCAGATACAGGTCTTCGATGGTCTTCCTGTCGTCGATAGTGAGTCCAGCATGATGCACGCCGATTCCCAAAGCAGCCAGAGCTACAAGTGATGAGTACCAGTAACAATATTTCCTACCGTGCAGTGCTCACGAGCGAGATCTTTGTCCTGAAAAGTCTGATCAATCCTAACCATTCATGAATATCTTGTCTTGTTTAATGTCTTATCGCTCACTGCAAGGGCATGCTCCACGGGAGCAGCTGTTTCGCCTTCATGGTTTCTTCATATTCTTTAGCCAATTGCCTGGCAGTTGTGATGGTCCCTACAGAATGCCTGATAGTAGTAGATGTGACTAGTAATCGCGATGTCGTACCTTTTCTCGTCGGACAGAATACGAGGATTGGTTTGTCAACGGCGTGTTGTTGTAAAATGGCGAATAGGCGGGTATCAAGAGTATGCGCATATGCGAAGTCATTCTGACCTTTCGGCTTGACCACGCCATAAACAAACCGAGTGAGTTTACAGGGCCGATATTCGTCACCAAACTGTATTGTTCATTAGCGTGAACTATAAGACCAAACGAGCCTTGATTTGATTACCTGAAATATTTGACCGGGATGATCACTAGACGCATGATTGCTCCCAATCCAGCTTGCAACATCTTCGATGTTCGGGACTGTTGCCGATACAAGAAGGAATCTAACATCAGATCCTCTTGCCTTCATGCGAGAGACAACGACTTCTAGGGTGCTGCCGCGAGATTCGTTGAGGATGTGGACCTGACCGACCCTTAAATATTTTCTAGCGGGGCAATCTCGATAACAGACTCACCTCGTCCACAAGAAAAAGTTTGATCTGAGATAATATACGACTATGGTCATCCCTGAAATGAGGATGAGCGTATGCTACTGTCACAACAAAAATGTTTTACCAATTCCTTGTGAGACTATCCCACTTCTCGGCCTGAGATATTGTAAGCAGTGTTTTCAAACCATGAGCAGACTGGAAACTTGCTGTAGTAACACTTTTGTAGACGAGGTTACACATCAGAATCGTCAAACAATACGATGGTTAGACTTACATGATTCTAGCGTTCTTGGCATCACCCCACACGCCCTTGCCAAAGACTACAGTGTCGCCCGTAAGCTCACAACCTAACTCTTAGAACGAGCGTCATATCTGAACTACAATACATTACATACTGGGTATCCCCAGACTGCCAAATTTGGCGTTCCATTCCTTGTATTTTTCCGTACAGAGGGCCTGTATCAACTTGTAAACCGGCTTCAAGTGGGTGCAAGAGTAACACAACTTTACCTTGGTTGGGGCGACATAGACGCATTTAGTGGCTTCGTTTGTGCTCGAAGGATCGGTGACCATGCGGATAATGCTCAATTCAAAAATAACAGTCTTGCCACTTCCAGTGGGCGCTACACACTAGCTAAGCCCGAAGTACGTCGAGAAGAATGACCACACCTACCGCTAATAACCTACACGCCTGTTTAGAGACATCTCAAGTGATAAGAATAACGCACCATATTCTCATTCGAGTGAAGTACCTAAAAAAAATCAAGTGTGAAGAAATTTGAATGAAGCTTCATAAATCTTACTGCATCAAAGCAGGTCGACTGAATAGCGTTGAAAACACCAAACTTGAAGATGCTGCGAAATATATCCGCTGTCCCACCAAGTTAAGGTTAGAGACTAGCAGTAGGCAACGGTGAATATTCCTACGAAGTTCGGAAACAGGGCGCAACCGCGCTGGTTGGGGTTTCTGTTGCGTATGACCACCAGGCCTATCATTACACAAGATGCCGTAACTAGACTCGAAGTTGTTTGTAATTTTATTCGAGTTTCCATAGTGAGTTTCTCCAGAGTACTGGTATGGGTGGTCTAAGATGGATCCATGTTGATTATAACAAAGGACGACGATGCACATGAAAAGACTGACGAATTCTCTGTGGAACATCATGGTGGGCCTGATTCTGGGTCTGCACAACAGTATAATTGGCAGGGCTTGGTGCGTATTCGGGAGTAACGCTTCTATAGTCTTCCCAATAAGGTTGTGCAGCACCTGAGTAATATGCATGGCTGGTTGGCGGATGACTTGCAAAGGCGCGAGCACGGTTGTGGATGCGTTCCGGTGGAGACGGAGAAGAGTCTAAAAAATATAATATCCTCGAAGAATATTTGGGCGCATATACTCACCAAATTCGTCCCCAGACCTAGCAAAATCATCGTAATAGTGTTGGTGTTGTCTAGTGTAGTACGACGTCAGCGTAAGTATCGTCGATACAAGGGAATTTATGGCGTACTGTGGCGGAAGCATCCCCGATGCCTGGTGTATCAGAGGCCACCTGCGAGATTGTTGCATTAAGCCGATAGTACTAGTGATATCAATGTTGATGGATACGATGCAAGAGAGCTACGCGTGACATGTCACGAACGCGACTGCACGTGTGGACAGAAATCAAATCTTGTCACGTCTGTCACACAACACTCTTTCTCGAATCTCGATCAACGTTGTACTTATCTCATAGACGTGTTTCTAGAACTCATTCTCTGTTCAATACCCTTTTTTCTCAATGGCTGATCGCCAACTTGCCAGCAAGATTGAGGAGTATATCGAAAAGTTAGCCGTAATGTTTCTTCTGTTACGATACGCTCATGTGGCTAATTTTGACATACAGGATCCACTATTCTGATCGCTACTCTGATGACTTTTATGAATACCGTCACGTCATCCTACCGAAACCGCTACTCAAACTTGTTCCGAAAGAGTTCTTTGACGACAAAGTAGGCACTCTTCGTCTACTATCGGAAGCGGAGTGGAGAGGGATCGGCATTACTCAGAGCCTCGGCTGGGAGCACTATGAAGTACATGGCAAGTAGTCATTTCAAATGAAGTCAAGGATGCCATTCCCTGACAAGAAGTAATTAGCCCCAGAGCCACATGTCCTCCTTTTCCGTCGTGCGAAGAACTATGGACTCCCCACGCAGCCGCAACCTGCTCCAGCTGCGAGACAAGCCAATGCGAGGAAAAAGTAGCATGCTGTTCTTGGCTCCGGCATTTCGTTCTTTCGCTTGTCTTGCATCGCTTTCTTTGCAGTTTCTTCAGTATTATCCAGTGCGTTTCCGATACATTGTATCCATTGTTTGCGGTGGCATTTCCGGGCTTATGTCCGTTATGGTGCTTCCTCTTAAACCATCAAGTAGTCTCACTTAGCACGATATTCAGGTTTATCAGTGAGGCTATGAACGTGCTTATACTGTGGTATGCGGCACTTCAGAGCTCTCTATTACCTTGTGCAATTCATCATCGATCAACTTACTAGCGGGAAACCGAAGTGACATTGAACGCCCTTTGATGACTCGGTGAACTCGGCAGTCTCGTTAATGATGGGATTCCACATCCTCCTCGTGTTTAAACACTACAAAGATTTTCAAGAACCTTTTGATCCATGTCACTAGACTGGCGTTATCGTACCTCATGGTTGACGTGCGTGCAGCTTTGAGCTCTTTTTTTCGTTGAATGATCGGCTTGATAGGTGCGCTCCAGTATCTGCTAGTTCAGTCAGTGAACATTAATATTCAGGCATCTTTCGCTTGAAGCTTCGTTTCCGGATCCGCAGATTTTGGTAGGAGGTTTAGCTATCGCTGCGTTGCTTTTTATGCTGTTGATAGCGAGTCTGTAGATAAGTCAGGGAATTTTATGCTCCTATGTTCAATGAAACAAAACACTTTCGCAGATACGGCGTAGGCGCACTGCGCTCGAATTCTGAATGTACAAATTCATAAGTCGCTTTGTGACCGTAACATGCGACTCTCGACGCAGTTTAAATGAAGTTGTCTATTACAATGCATACGCATCGACTCGAATGCTCTGGAGATATACACAGCAAGCCGTAACCAAAAAAATGGATGTTGTCAAGAGGTGTGTAAATTTGCAATATATGACATAGTACCCCGCCGCAAATAGCCCCCCGGCACAGTGGCCCAGGAGATATTTCCCTTTGTTTCTCAATGGAAGTACAAAATTGATTATACATTGCTAGCATCTCTACATAACAGGACTGCTGAGGTTTACCACTCGGCGATGCGGCTGTAACATTACAGCTGAAGCGAACATGTTGAGTACTACGAGTCTGGGGTCATCTATTTCGGGAAAACTAGACTGAAACCGAGAAAATCCCACAGCGTGTCACTGCGGTGCATAGAAACTTCTGTATGGATTGCCGCACGCTTTCAGGCTGAGCGCTGAGCTCTCGTATACCCCAACCCGTCCCGGCGTACTATCACTAATGCAATCTCTTCCCGGTCAGATGTCTACCAGCTTTCATCAAGTTACTTCATATACAGAATAAAACTTGAATGCAAGCCAACTATAAACCGTTCAGCAATTTTCTCAAAATGTATACGGCCTGCACTCTCGCACCCTGTTATCATTCGAACCTTGCTCGGTTCCGAAGAACAACCCTGAGTAAACACAGTTTGGACACCGGCATTCGTGGCACAATGGGAAGACCATCCTAAAAGGCCTGGTCCATTCTGAAATGACAATGTCAATTCGACTCGTAAATTACTTACGCGGACCCTGAGGTCTCACTAAACCTTTCCTGACTTGGCCACTACCCGCGAGACGTTCTAGTACGCCAATCTGAATTTTATTGCCAAGTATCTTTATCCTCATCCTCGCTGTATATAGTTAGTACACTAGTTTAGCTACCTAAACCTTTTATTCATAGTCCACCAGGCGCCTGTTTTACTCGGGCAAACTTTGAGTAATTTATTCAAGCGATTTTGCATGCAGGACTTTTGGTACTAATGAGATATGTTATATTGGCATATTCAAAAGACTTTAATTTAGGGGAAAATTTAGGAATGAGGGAGCCTGCATGGAAAGGTCTACTAGGAATTGGTGTATACACCAACGCGTTAGCGGTCAAACCAGGAAAGTTGGACCGCCGTAAGAGAGGACGGCCGAAATTTAGATTTGACCAGGCCTATTAAATAATTAAATATTGTGTTCGTAAGTTGGACTGCAGTACACGTTGATCCATCCGAGTCCAAATTAATATTTAACTCAAATGCCAGTTGCAGTACTAGTGAGTGGGACAATTATATAGTAGCGCCGAAACCAAGCAGGTGGACAAGAGATAAGACTCGGAGGGGAAGAAATAGTAAAATAGATAACGGGTCCTGGATGGCCCGGAGGGCTGTGACGAATTATCACGGAAAGAGCATAGTAGTTAGTCTTTCTTACAAGTTACCTCATTTTAAAAGTGATGGAAAGCAGACCCGCAATCTCGAGATGATAAAAGGAACTTAATGTCTAGGCCTTAGGCCTCAGGCTTCCACGCACAACGTTGGCGATTTGGGGTCACGTGATGTCTGCCTCGAAAGGGACATTAGATATTCATTCTCCTCAGCTCACCGATCTCGTCAAGCACAAGAAGAAGGCCGCAGACAGAGAGGTATTCGCAGTGCAGTCTCTTGAGAAAGATGTGCCAGTTACTCTCCATGTTGTCGCCAAGCCGTCGCCAGCCCCTGCCAAATCAACAAAGAAGAGTACGCCCGTGTGGGTCCTCTGGGTCATCTGGTACAATACTTACAGGTATGGTATTATACGACAACACATGTGGTCCAATGCTCACCCTTCTGATTCATTCAGGCGCTTTTTCGCCGTCGTGTTCGTAGTCAATTTCATTGGAATTGGCTTTGCGATTGCTGGAAAATGGCCATACGCCGCAAGATATCCTGGTGCTCTGGTCCTTGGTAATTTGAACGTTGCAATTCTTGTGCGCAACGAGATATTCGGCCGTTGCTTGTATTTGTTCGTCAACACCTTCTTCGCTAAGGTCTGTGCCATGCATTTTTAACATTTTTAATCGGCGTTGATGTGTTTTCTATTATAGTGGACCCCTCTATGGTTCCGCCTTGCGTGTACCTCCACTTTGCAGGTCGCTTTGAACTCCACGTGGTGATTTCAGGGAACTGACGTTTCTTTGCAGCATCTCGGTGGTATCCACAGCGGATGTGCAATCTCCGGCGTAGCTTGGATAGTCCTCATGGTCGTGCATCAATTCAAGATGAAGTATATGTTTAACGACTCCATACTTGCCTTCGGGGTGATCACCTCGGTCATGCTGTTTGTCACCCTCTGTGCTGGTCTTCCGTGGGTCCGTAACACGCACCACAAGTGAGCATTCTCTTCGGTCGTTCATCGCCGCCTTTTGACGTCGGTACCCAGCGTATTCGAGCTGAATCACCGTCTCTTCGGATGGACTTCCTTGTGCATGACCTGTACGTCCAACCATAACGTAGAGAAGCTCACGACCATACTAATTTTTGAAGGGGTATACACCATCGTGACCAATGCCTATGACACTGCAGACGGAAAGTTCGACCACGTCGGAAGATACGTCGTCCAACAGCAAGCTTTCTGGTACACGGTCGGAATGTCCATCTTGTAAGTACTACTTTGCCTGACTTCTCCATTGGGTTGGTGACAGCGGTTTCAGCATTGTTCTGCCTTGGATGTGCACGCGACACGTCGACGTCGACGTCGAACTTCCCTCTCCGAAAGTCGCTGTTCTGCGCTTCGAGCGTGGTATGCAACAGGGTCTGCTTGCTCGCATCAGTCGCTCGGCTGTCAAGGAATATCACGCTTTCGGTATCATCTCGTAAGTTTTTAGTGCCGTCGTCGTGCGATACTGCTAACTCTTTGCAGCGAGGGTACCCATGCAAAGCATCACTACCTGATCTGCGGTGTGCAAGGCGATTTCACTAAGAGACTGGTCAGCGACCCGCCGAGAAAAATCTGGACTCGTGAGCTGAAGGTAAACCGACCAAAGTAATTTTCCGATTAGATTGCCAATTTTTTTCAGTTCGCTGGTGTCTCCAACACATCGACCCTTTACAAGCGTGGAATTCGTATCTGCACTGGAACTGGTCTTGGTGCTGCCCTTTCTACTTGCATTCAATCTCCCTACTGGTACCTCATTTGGATCGGTGCGACAATCTGAACCTCAGGCATATGCACATCATTGACGCGTCTGCTAGGCTCCGATCAAGAGAAGACATTCGGCCCAACCATTAGTGGTCTCATTCACAGGTACATCGGTCCAGAGCGTCTCCTTCTTTGGGACTCCAAAGTCCGTGGTGGTCGTCCACCCACGATGAAGATCTTGAAGGAGGTATACGACCAGTGGCAGGCGGAGGTTGTCTTCATCACGTCCAACTATGTGGGTAACTTTGAGATCCAACATGGTTGCAAAGAGGCTGGGATTCCTGCATTCGGAACACTGTGGGACTTTGTGAGTGACCCAGACATTTCTTGCTGATGGAGCTGAGGAGAATGTGCTTTTTCAGTAATTTTTGCGTCTGGATGTATCGGACGCCAGACCTTACTCGAATCTTTCGTCCAAATAGGTACACTGTCTTTTTTTTCTAAGTCGATACACTATTCTCAATCGGATATCTTGTCTTGCTATTTTTGCGCACCTTCTTGTTTCACACAGTATTGATGGACTGAAGGAGTTGCAATCTATCATCGAGCTCACAAGTCGTATTGATATCATAGTCATGTCTGATCCAAGCACCAGTATCTTTGCGCTGTTGATACATATGTTCATGTATATAGGCCATTCTAATGTTGATGTTCGTATATTTGACATTGGCTGATGAGTGGATTCGACGGTATTCGGCCCCACTTGAAGAGGAGTAACATCAGCTCAATGCAGAATCCTCCGCCAGTGTAAGTAAGGAGGAAAGCGCTGCCAAGGGTGTGCGGGTGCACCCAGGTGTAACCGTGAGCGTCCCTAATACTCTTGTCAACATTTCATTTCAACCGAGTCATGCGTTCCAATCTTACATGTACAATGTTTGCAGCGTGTGAAATTTGTTTTGTTCTAATAGGTCATTTGCAAAGGCGTATTCCAACACCGTCGACTCTACATTCGCTAAACGCATTCATCTTCGAGTGTGCGTGCAGAACTATACATAACCGTCATCGAGGAGATGTTCCCCTTGATTCAGAATATCTAGATAGTTCGGTCAGAGTGGCCTGTACGCCCTGGTAAGGTTGCAGAATGGGTAGAATTCGTACCAAACATACTTCAATGCCTCAAAGTACGACATTCACACCTGAGGAACCTCCCGTAATGTTAGAATCGTCATATGAAGCACCGTGAAGCAGGAAATACACATTAGTACATGACAACAAAGTAAAAGAGTAACATCGACGACATCTAAAGCTTGGCGAGGGGCAGGTCTCCCCATTCCACCAAGGGCTCCGGAAGCTCTGTAACTTCAAGGGCTGATTTAAAGTCTTTAACATTTTCAACGAAAGTCACCCCTTCGGTCCGAATGTGTTGTACTTCATCATCATCTGGGTACTGCATCATCAACCCGGGGATTTTCTTCATCAACTCCTGATAATTGTCGAACCCGCTGAGTGCGTCTTGCCAGTATTTTGCAAACTGCGTCGCAAAGGGATTCTCGTCAGCCATTTCCTCTTTCCACCCTGAAGGGTCGGCGAGTGTGGTTTCAGCTCTGACCAAAGCTTCGAAGGCCTTGGTGGCTGTAGCGCTGATTCGCGGTGGCCGTGGCTTTTGGGACTGTAATTGGACGGATAGTTTAGACCTTCTAACACCCAAGGGATGAACGCGAGCGAGAAACAGTTCTAGGACGTCGTGCTTGGTAATGTCTGTCAGCAGGTCCGAATCACTGTAGCCTAGATCCTTATTAGGTGGAAATAATAGGAAACGAAAATAAATGAAACACACGTCTTAGGAAGTCCAGATACCCTGAATCGATGTGCTCCCAAAAAATTGCGCGCTCCTTCTTCAAGTCCTTGATGACTTCAGTCCACTTTTGCTGTAGGCCAGTTTTGAACTGCTCGAAATCAACAGGTTCCATATCTTCGATCTTACTCTTCATAGTGTCCAGGAATGCTTCCACTCTCTGCTCCAGGTAGGCAGGATTTCGTTCGCTTTGCACCACCAATCGCAGCCCCAGAAGCGATGCTCCAGACAGTTTCAGTTCTGAACAAAAGACAATATAACCAAGCTGTTCCTTTGTTCGGAGAGTGTCGAAAGCTGGCTCTGACATCATATGTATGAGGAGCAAGGCAGTCGTACGCAAGCGGGCATCAGTAGAACTTCCAAGTTGAAGATAATAAGTCAGAGATGAATTGGGATCGTTGGGGTTGGGTATATGCGACTTCCAGATAAAATCGGAGCCTGTCAAAGTAAAGATTAATCGCACCCTTGCTGCATGACGAGCTAAACATGCCTTCTGGCAGGATGAGCGCGCGTTGAGCGGTCTCGTCCACTGATATTGGGGAAGTGTTTAGGATGTTTTCCGCCATCTCTGATAAACCAATGGCTTCCTAAACTCATGTTTGATTACGATCACGGTTGCCAGCGAGAAAATGCGTACGTCTTTGTGCATATTGCCAGTTACTAACATCTCAATGCTCAGGCGCGCTAAAAAGTCGTCGATGTGTCTCTGCAACTCGTCCTCCGTGACGCCTGTCATAGTTGTGGTGTTGAATTAGTCCACTTCAAAAATATTGATGCTATAGCTACTCACTAGAGATCTCCTGCAGCTTGTCTGCAATAGTCCAAGTGTTATGAGTGAGCATGTATTGTGTATAATAGTCCGATAATCGGTAACCCTGATCCATGAAGAAATTTTCCCAATCGCGCTTAACCTAGTTGACCATAGTAAGCCCACTTGCATCGGGGAAACATGACACGAAGCAATAACCTTTTCTTTGGTGACTGCTAATCTGTCCTCGCGGACTTGTAGATTTCTTACAGTCTCCAAAACGCGGCGAGCAAGGACAGGCAACTTTTCATTGTAACCATCTAGAGTGATCATCAGCCCAAGGTGGTGTGAACCACTGTGGAAGACAAGTCCGGCAAGTTCTGCGTCATATGCAAATTCCTGTAGCGAATCATTTACAAGATCAGCAAAAAGCCTGGATTAAAATTATCGTCAGATCAAACAGGTGGGTTGCAAAGCAGCTCACCGTGTCATAGTGTCGGCGCGTGGAGATGAGCCTGCAACCGGACTACATTGATAATTAGTCCACAGCCCCCAGAATTCTGGTGATCTAAAGTGCATACCTACGAAGTTCCAGTACGAGCGACGCCTTTGGAAGCCAGAATTGGTCATCTTTCTTGTGCCACACGGACCCCATTGGCGTCTGTTTGATAAGTTGAGGTCGTTTAGCCGGCTGTAAGCGACCAATCACGGTCAGAGTTGGAGACATCGGTATGCGTTAGTTATATATAGCATACCTCAAGGACGTCACGTTTCTCCACTTCTAAATTGGTGGGTATGAATTCGTTCGGGCCTGGTAGGTACAGCTCCACGATATCATTGGGTCCTTCAGCCTAGTTACCGGTTTGTCAACGAGTCGGATGAATACCGCAATGGAACCTGACTTGCCTGTTCAACGAATGATGGGTCCCACCGCTCTACTCTGTACCCCGTACCATACCATTTCTCGTGCTCCCAGTGTTCATTCTTTGAAATGCGCTCGAGTTCCTCTTTCTTCGCCATGAGCACTGCCCTACCCTTTGTGATACGCATCTCTTCCAATATTTCACGAACTTCTCGCTCTCCGTCCTCAGGATTCCATTCACATGGGATGACCGCCCCGCGCAGTAATAATTCAGGGGGAACGGGCTTGCCCAATCTCTCGGAAAGCGAAACTGCATAGCCCTCCGCATTCTCCTTCGTGGCAAATTGGAATCTCGTGCGCGCAATTTTGACAAGCTCCGATTGATACCACTTCGGGAATGCAGAGGACCGCAAGAGGGAAAGGTATTTGTATGTCGCAAGGGCCACCGATTGGTAGTTCTCGAAACCAAGCTTGGTCAAATGAATGGTGAATTTGAACATTTCGAAGCCTCGTGCGAGGGATTGAGGACCCGAGTTGAGTGACGTCGCCCACCCCTTGCTTTTGATGTACGAAAAAAGCGAACCAGGACCTTCGTGACCAGTAAAGTGTGAAATAAAATGTGCAGGCTTGTACCGCCAAAGCGGGGACTGCCATACTAGAGGAAATGAGATCTCAATAGCGTGGAAGGCCTTGACAGTCTGGACGGAAACTAAGGTCTAATAAGCTATATTAATAAACCATATTACCAGCAATAAGACACGAACTTACTCCCATTTCGTTCGGGCCAAATGGATGATCGGGAATTACGGGCAGTGGATCCTGCTCTCGGTTCTTGATAGGTGTAAACAAGGTCGAGACCATGTCAGCCAACGTGTCGAGCGGCTCTACAGTCGAGGTGACAAAGTATTTGCTCGTAACAGAAACAGCAACGTACCTTTCCCAACAATACAAAGTCGCATTCTGCCTGCACAATATTCTCTATTCCACCACTCAACTAACCGTCTGCGGGTCTCACGCCCGACGACACCGCCGTCTGGTTCGTTCTCGCTGCTCGTAGATATATTGGACGGGGCTGGTGATGGAATACGCGAAGGGAGCGGTGAGGACGCTAAACTCCCATTAGATGATACTGGCGATACTGGCGCACTGCTACCCGTGGCGGTATGTGTCCCATTCTTTATCCCATTCCCGTTTAGCTTACTTTCCGCCTTGAATGTTCTCCCGGCGGCACTTAACGTCTCGCGATTGCCACTGCCAAACTTGCTCCACGGATGACCTTCCTTGGTAAGATGTTTGTTCAGCTGGAAAATGCGCCATGGATCTGCCTGATGGTTCTTAGAATGCTCCGAGTCGACTGCATTCATTTCCCGCGTGGTACATGAGGGCGCAAAGAGAGGGCAGTGGAAAAACGCGGAGAAACGCGCTAATGCTCCAGGGAGCGCCGAGGTAGCGACACGGAAAAAGTAGTTGGTGTTTGCCGGTGCTGTATAGGCATTAGAATGGCCGTTGTTCTTGGAAAGGTACTGAATTCAGAGCAAGTCAGTTAAATGTCGCTGGGTGGACCATGACACACACCTCGGAGTACTCGTTTTCTTTCGGAAATTGTTCAGTACCCTATAATAAATGTTGTTCAGCCATCAGCCAGGACCTGTGACAAGAAAGACTCATACCATGAATAACAAGTGCTCGCAAAAGTGGGCAAGGCCAGGGATATCATCCTATGAAGCTTTCCGTTAGTAAGGGTTCCAATCCTCATCACTCAGAACAATGAAAGATACTAGAACTAGCATCCCTTCGTGACAATGTAGATACACCATACGATGTCTTCAATCCTCGGAGAAACGCACTCACTGGGTCTGACAGGTGACCAACTGCCACATCTAAGCTTGCGGCAGCGATATCGGCTTTTGCATCTTGAATCAACAAGGCTAAGAGACCATTGTCGAGCTTGATCAACCTGTACTCCCGTTCATCAAGTTGGGACTTCTCTATCGGTTTGGTGAAAAATGTGTAAGCAGGGACGTTCGCGTGGTTCTCAACTCTCTGCCAATCATGAGCAGCCATAGTGAGAGCGCGATGATTTTTGAATCGGAGACGATGGGTTGTTTGTAATATGGAACGAAGGTGAGCTGAATAAATACCAAGATGCGCCATCGAGAGTATCTATGGCATACTATATTACGTGGTAGCAGTAAACATTACTAATACGGAAAACAAGAGAACCATCTCAGTCCGGGTCCCGGAAGCTTTGCCGGCCACGTCAGCCAGGCTTTCAGCTTTTTGCGCTTGGTCGCAGATAACTCGTTTCCTCTGGTATGCAGCTCCCGACATAAGATGTGTTCTAGTTTCAAATTGGTCCTCAGGTACAAAGAGAAGAACTCTGCGACTTGGAATTGTCCGAGGAGAAGGGATAGGGGCAGTGAGTCTTTTTGGCTAATACCCTCTCGGTTTCATAACCTTGAGGGTACTACTGCTAATTAAAGAAACCTATGTATGCTGCCAGCGGTCAGTTCACGTGGTACGTGATTACTGGCACTCGGCGTACCCTGACTGCTAATTAAGTGATTCGTATATATCATTATCATGATACTACTGGCTAGCGATTAATTGCTCTAGAGTGAAAGCCATTGGGAGGGATGCAAAATAAACTCATCTACTATGAGTAACCAGTCATAGTAAGTCCTGCCACATCTGCCAGTGGCGCAGGGAAACACGAAATTGTATGTCGTGCGACTTCCATGGCCAGTACGTCACAGTCATTGAATATACGCTTGCCAGCTTCAAATGATGGGGAGCACAAAGCCACGTAGGCCATTCGATACACCTAAAGCTGGATTAATAACTGAACAGATCTAACAGGTCGATTAAAAACTTAAAAACAGTTATCTCGAAGCTTTTTCGTGGCACTGCGGGGGGTATAAAACCATGTCGGGTTCGACACTCCCACAAGCTTGGAAATCATAGGTCTAGGACAAGTCTAGGACCTGAATAGATCTAAGTTGATGGAAATTTCGAAACAGTTATCTTGGGCTTATCTAGATCTTGCTCACCCTTTCTTTCAGAAACGTTCAACGACACCATCTTTCTTCAAGTGAAGCCATAGATAGCATCATAATATCATAATGCCGCATGCGTGCATGTGGGGTATTCAGAAGTCAAAATATATTTTGCCGAGCACCAGAGCTCAGGCAACTGAAATGAAAAGTAAGTATATCCCTAGTGATATGCGATAGCCTGAGTTCGGCGGCACTCTCTGTAACTCCAAACCAACACAAAATTGCCATGTGGAGACGAATCCTGCTGGCTTGTAGTACCGAAATTTCGCGCGACCCGCGGGAGAAGGAAGGCGGATTGCGTGCTCTAATATCGCAATATATGAGTGTTGTATGTCAGGTGGGCCACGGGAGCTGGAATCCCTTACCCTGGGGAAGGTCTGGTGGTGTCTACAAACGAAATCGAAGACCAACGCTTGGAAATTCGGAATCGTTGTGAGGAAGTTGTAGCCAGAGGAGAGGTCGTACCAAAAGCACGGGAGTCGTTCAGTTCTTGAAGCCACGAAGCCTTTCTCTGGGAGTGCCTCGGAACACTCGAACATGAAACATCACCGCTTGGTCGTTTCACCTTTGCTAAAGCAGGAAGTCTTAAGACTTTAAGTCCCCGTAGACAAAACCAATCAAAGGATTATGTTAGTATGCACATCGCAGAAGTGCTGGGTTCGTATTATGCAGAAGGAGAACTTGTTGCTACGCCGTAAGCTATCAAGGACAAGAGTCAGGCCGAGGATAATCTAGCATGCAAAATGAAGGTGGCCAAAGTTCAATGCTAGAGCGGCGCGGAGGTCCGAAAAAAAGCCCAGGATCATCACTGTCATGGATGGTTCAGTGACCAACGGAATGAAGTTTCGAACTCTCGGAACTCCCGCGAGGCCACGGACCCAGCCTTCTTATTCAGCCGAGAACGGACTCTGGACTATAATACGTCGCCCTCTCAACAAGACTCCAGATGGGCTCTTGCTTGCAGCCTAGAAGAACTTGCCATCAGCGGGTTAGATTGCGCTACAGAATGCTACATGAGTGCTCTGTAGCACTCTGTAGTGAATTACGTTTCCCTGATAGTACTTAGTACAGTAGTCTGTCACTTATGAAGAGTCACGTGGGATCACAGTACCATTAGCGCCGATCGCGCGGACCTATCACTAATAACGCCGAAGGGCCTATTGGCATATCTTAATCGACACCATCCACCACCTCTTTCACTATCCTGCTATCCAGATATAAGACTAGAGGGAAAGTTCGGCGAGGCCACCACGATGCCACATTGCCCAGAACCCGAAGACTAGACTGAAAACGAGAACGCCACTGGCACTACACATCACGGCGACTTCTGTGCGTACATATTTCCGCCCGCTCTCACGCTGAGCACAACCCGCTACTATCACTAATGCAGCCTTTTCCCTGTCGGTTGTCTACTATGCACAATAAATTATTATAACGCAAGCCAACAACAGTTAAACCGTTCGGCAATTTTCTCAAAATGTATACGGCCTGCGCTCTCGCACTGTTATCATTCAGACCTTACTTGGGCCGATTCCTTGGCGGACGACTTCAAACCCTGAACGAACACAGCCCGGACACCACCGGTTGCAGCTTTTACAATGAAAAGATCCCAGACTCTACTCAAATGTTCGCTTCGGCTTCATATTGCAACACATCGCCGAGTAGGATGCGATCTGTTCATTGTGAATGCTGTGAGGATGTGCTCATGATTTGATAACTACTAGTATATCTGCTAGTCACTTGTCGGCAGCGGCATACAGAACTACTAGTTTCTCATTGGCTGGACGAGCTGTCGGTATCACTCTCAGATACGCATCCATATCGTGAGGCGAAGACTCGGAGGTAAGTACACTTCGTTTCAACTCGTTAGTGCCGAATTCAGGCTGTGTCGATCTTTTACCTTAATTTGCCTGGTCCATCCGCGGCAACACTAGGCTTCAGTTATCAGCGATAGTAATACGGACATGCGCCACTGGCCCAGATCAGAATAATTGTACCTCAAATGACTCTAGCATCCAGTACGTGTTCAATATCTCTAGCTAGACTCCCAGTCTCACTGGCACTGTGTCGTGAACTCTCGGCAGCAACACCAACTGACTGAGGCAAGCGGCCCTAACAATCTAAAGCAATCAATTTAATCACACCAATTTATGCTCGGTTCGGAGTTTTACATTACCTGATACGATTATATAACGGAAGAGCATAGATCCACAGGCTCGATTATCTTTTTCACAAGTTACCTTGGGAAATTTATGGAAAGCACACCTGCGTCGGTCTCGAGACCATAAAAGGACTCAACCCGAATACCTAAAACTTCAGGCTTATTCTCTCTACGCATAGCGGGTAGTCTCTCTTCGTGACGCGATGTCTGCTTTGGCTTACAATGATGCAGAGAAAGGGACACTAGAAGTCCACTCTCCCCAGCTTACCGATCCCACCAAGGACGAGAAGAAGGCAGTAGACATCGAGGTATTTGCAGTGCAGTCTCTTGAGAAAGATGTGCCGGTTACTCTCCCAGACGTCGCGAAGCCACCGCCAGCCCCTGCCAAATCAGCAAAGAAGAGTACGCCCTTGTGGGTCCTCTGGGTCATCTGGTACAATGCGTATAGGTATGGTATTATATGACAACACATGTGGTCCAATGGCTCACCCTTCTGATTCATTAAGGCGTTTTTTCACCGTCGTGTTCGTAGTCAATTTCATTGGAATTGGCTTTGCGATTGCTGGAAAATGGCCATACGCCGCAAGATATCCTGGTGCTCTGGTCCTTGGTAATTTGAACGTTGCAATTCTTGTGCGCAACGAGATATTCGGCCGTTGCTTGTATTTGTTCGTCAACACCTTCTTCGCTAAGGTCTGTGCCATGCATTTTTAACATTTTCAATCGGCGTTGATGTGTTTTCTATTATAGTGGACTCATCTATGGTTCCGCCTTGCGTGTACCTCCACTTTACAGCATCTTGGTGGTATCCACAGCGGATGTGCAATCTCCGGCGTAGCTTGGATAGTCCTCATGGTCGTGCATCAATTCAAGATGAAGTATATGTTTAACGACTCCATACTTGCCTTCGGGGTGATCACCTCGGTCATGCTGTTTGTCACCCTCTGTGCTGGTCTTCCGTGGGTCCGTAACACGCACCACAAGTGAGCATTCTCTTCGGTCGTTCATCGCCGCCTTTTGACGTCGGCACCCAGCGCATTCGAGCTGAATCACCGTTTCTTCGGATGGACTTCCTTGTGCATGACCTGTACGTCCAACCATAACGTAGAGAAGCTCACGACCGTACTAATTTTTGAAGGGGTATACACTATCGTGACCAATGCCTATGACACTGCGGACGGAAAGTTCGACCACGTCGGAAGATACGTCGTCCAACAGCAAGCTTTCTGGTACACGGTCGGAATGTCCATCTTGTAAGTACTACTTTGCCTGACTTCTCAATTGGGTTGGTGACAGCGGTTTCAGCATTGTTCTGCCTTGGATGTGTACGCGACACGTCGACGTAGACGTCGAACTTCCCTCTCCGAAAGTCGCTGTTCTGCGCTTCGAGCGTGGTATGCAACAGGGTCTGCTTGCTCGCATCAGTCGCTCGGCTGTCAAGGAATATCACGCTTTCGGTATCATCTCGTAAGTATTTAGTGTCATCGTCGTGCGATACTACTAACTCTTTGCAGCGAGGGTACCCATGCAAAGCATCACTACCTTATCTGTGGTGTGCAAGGCGATTTCACGAAGGGACTGGTCAACGACCCGCCTAAAAAAATCTGGACTCGTGAGCTAAAGGTAAACCGACCAAAGTAATTTTCCGATTAGATTGCCAATTTTTTTCAGTTCGCTGGTGTCTCCAACACATCGACCCTTTACAAGCGTGGAATCCGAATCTGCACTGGAACTGGTCTTGGTGCTGCCCTTTCTACTTGCATTCAATCTCCCTACTGGTATCTAATTTGGATCGGTGCGACAATCTGCACCTCAGGTATATGCATATCATTGACGCGTCTGCTAGGCTCCGATCAAGAGAAGACATTCGGCCCAACTATCAGTGGTCTCATTCACAGGCACATAGGTCCAGAGCGTCTCCTTCTTTGGGACTCC